ACATATCCATTAATAAAAAGATTGTTGTACAGGGACGTGAAGGTTGGAGATCGCAACTCTTGCATAAACAGTATAGAGGATGAGAGGGCAAATTGCTATGCACCTTTGGAAGGGTAATTTGCCTCTGTGAGAGTGGTGGTGGTATTCACACACTGCAAATGTGGTGTTCGTAATCGTGTAACTCTGAGAGGTTAGTCCTGGTGTGTGCATAACGCTGTAAAAGTAGAGGTGGTGTGATTTCCATAATTCTAGGATTGTAGTGGTGGTGACCATGTAACTCTGCAATGTGCATGAAGGTACCCAGACCAATCTGTAACACTGACTGTGACCTTAACATAACCTGTGAAAGAGGCACAGGATATACCCACCCAGCTCTGCAATGCTGACTGTGGTCATATTTACATCACTCTGAAGTGTTGATTGTTATTCACCTAATCCTACTGTACTTACTATGGAGCTCTGTGACACTGGTGCTGGTGTGTGTCCTCCAAGTGTTCATGCGCTGGAAGCCTGGTCCCCTATGTGATATGTTAAGAGCTGCTAGGACCTTTAAGAGTTGAAGCCTAGTGGGAGGTTATTAGGTCATTTGGGGACATGTCCTCAGATCATGAGCCCAGTCTTTCACATGTGTTCCCACAGTGATGCCCTCTACCATGTGTTGATCTATCCAAGGGAGACTTTACAAAAGGCTGAACCAATAAGCTTCTGGCCTTCATAACTATTTCTCTTCTTTACAAGTTATCCAACCCCAGTCACTTTATGACAGCAGTAAGAAATGGTATAAAACAGCTGGTGTGATTGGAATTCTACCATGGTGGTGGGGATAGCCATCACACACCTCCGGAGTGTGAATAACGCTGCAGTTGTTGCACACATCACTTCATGAATGTGATGGTAACATTCACTTAATGCTATGATGGTAATAATGGTATTTACATAATTTTGTGCTGATACTTGTGGTAAAAAAACAACCGGTGTTTGTAGTTTTCACATAATTGTGTTTCATAATGGTATCCACATAATCCTGCAATGTTGTTAGTGCTATTCAGATCACTGCATTAGTTTTCTATTGCTGTGACAAATAACCTGAAAAAATCAACTTAGAAAAGGAAAGGTTTATTTTTGCTTACAGTTTCACAGGTTTCTGCCCTTGGTTGGCTGGCCCCAGGGAAGCGATCTTATGGTGGGAACGCATGGTGGAGGAAAGCTGCTCACACTGTGGCATCCAGGAAAAGAGAAAGAGAGAGAGACAGAGAGATAGACAGAGAGACAGAGACAGAGACAGAGACAGAGAGACAGAGAGAGACAGAGAGACAGAGAGAGAGGCTGGAGCAAGATAGACCCTTGCAGGGTACACCCCCAGTGACATACTTGCCCCAACTAGGCCCTGTCTCCTAAAGTCTCCTAAAGTCTCCTAAAGTCTCCACCTCTTCCCAGTTATATCACCAAGTTATAAAACCACAAATGGATTAATCTATTGATTAATGAGGTCACAGCCTTCATGAGCCAGCCACTTTCTGCTAGTTGTACCTCTGAAGTTTGCTGCATTGGGAACCAAGCTTTCAACATATGAACCTGTGGGGGAACATTTCAGATCCAGCTGATAACCATTGCCTTGTGACACTGGTGGAAGAATTCACATAATTTTCAGATGGTGACACTGGAGGTTGTGGCATTCATATAACCCTGTTGCTCATCATGTTCATATACTCTGTGACAGTTGTATTCATGTAAGTCTACAATATGGGTGCTGGTGCTGTTCACATGGTCCTGTGATGTTGGTTATGTTCACATAACGCCACGATGCTGGTGACATCCTTGCAGTTTGTTATGGTATCCACATAACTCTGTAATACCTGTGCAGAACTGACACAGTTGTGCAACATGGTGGTGGTATAATTTACACAAAATGGTGACTTTGTTGTTGTTCATTTGATTCTTCACACAGGCTGGTGGGATTCACATACTTCCGTGACAGTGGACATGTGCAATTCTACAATGTTGTGGTCAGTGGTACATAATTCTGTGATGGCTTTGCTGGTGATAGTCACATAACTGTGACATTGACTGTAGTACTTACCCTACACTATTGCATTGGTTGTGGAATTTAAGTATTTCTGTGCTGTTTATGGTGATGTTCCTATAAGCTTGTGACACTGGTCACAGCTAGATAATTGTGTGATGGTTGTATTCCCATAACTATGACAATGGGAGTTGTATTGCTATAAATCTGTGACATTGGCACTGGTGTTCATGTGACACTGTAATGTTATTGGCAGTAGTCATGTAATTCAGTGACATTGTGGTATTCACATAACTGTGAAGATGATGGAAGTGGTATTAAAATAACTTGGAGTCATCAGCCACGGTATATACACAGCTCTGAAGCACTGGTGTTATTAGTATACACATTACTTTGCAGCTAAAGTGGTTGCTTTAATGCACTCTATGGTGCTACTGGTGCTATTCACATAACTCTGTGAGATTCTTTATGGTATTGAGGTAAGGCCATGAGAGCAGTAGATATGACTCTGAAGCAGTCATGTGACCATAGTTGTGAAGTCACACAACCCTGCAGTGTTGGTAGAAGTTAATTTGCATGCTATTCACCATTTGCTCACATAATGCGGCTATATTTTCTCATGCTATCAGCACTATTTTGAAACGTTAGTTGTGCTATTAATGCACGTTGTGATGGTTATGGTGGTATTAGACATAGAAGTCTGCAACTTGGCTATGGTATTTTTATAACTCTGCAAGGCTAGTGGCATGGCATTAACATTGTGTGGTAGTGGTGGTGGTATTTGTGTGTAACTTGGTCAAAATACTTGCATAACTTGGCTACATTGACAGTTGCGGAGTTAACAAAACTGCAGCAGTGATGACAGTAGTGTTTGCACAACTCTGTGGTTCTAATGGTGTTAATGTATACCTCAGTGTTGTGAGTAGTTGAATTAGAATAATTATATTGGTGGTGTGCTTTCTTAACTATACCACAGTGGCAGTAGTCACATAATTCTGTGATTGTGTTAGATGTGGTAATCCCATAACTCAGAAATGTTGTGTGTGGTCTTCACTTATCTTAGTGACAGTGGTTGTGATGTTTACACAGTCTGTCCACACAACTCTGTAATACTGGTGGTGAGATTCTCACAACCTGTAGCAGTGGTTGTGATATTCACATACCTCTCAGAAGTTATAAGTTATTGATGGTATTCTACTCCTATAAATCTATGATGTTTCTAGTAGTTGTATTCTTAAAACATTATGATTTTGGTCATGTTGTTCTCATAAACATGCATTTATGGTGGGTAGTTTTCATATATTTCTGTGACATTGGCATAGTTTCCATATAACATTGCAATAATAGCTGTGGTATTTGCATAACAGTGAGACTTTGGTTGTGCCATTCATGTAACTATACACCCGTGGTGGAGAAGGTATTCATATAACTGGTGGTGGCGGTGATGGCATCTGCATAACCCTGTATTATTGTTTATAGTTTCCATATAACTCTGTCACGATATTTACGCAATTCTGCTGTGGTGGGTGGTAATGTTCATGTGATTCAGCACCATTGTATTTTGTGTTATTCTCACAATTCTGTGATGTTGGTCATGGTATTAATGTTACTCTACAATGATTGTAGTGGTATTCCTGTAATTCTGGGGCATTAGTGTGTGTTGCATTCACATAACCCCATGGAGTCAACTGTGTAGTCATGCAACTCTGTCATACTGCTCATGGTTTCACACAGCTCTGAAACATGTATGTGGTATTTGTGTAATTCTGTGACTTTGATGGTGGTGTTATTACATAACTGTCCTACTGACCACAGGGACTTGTCGTGTGGTAGTTACAGTTATGTAACTGTAGTGTCAGTCATACTGTGAGTTACACCCCCTCTGTTGTATTAGTTGTGGAATCCTCACAGTGGGGTTCAAATAACTCTGAGATATTGGTGGTGGTGCAGTAGTGTGCAGTTGAAGTACAATCATTTCTGTGCCATGCCATAGGGTTTGTTCACTAAATTACATTTAAAGGCATTTTTCCAAAATGTTGCACTTTCAAACTCTCCCAGGGCTTTATATACTGCGTCTAGTTTTTTATCCCTAATTTTAGTCACATGCATATGTCCACAATTGCAGCTTCATGTGTGAAGCTGATCAAAATTTAGCTACACACTGAGATGCATAAACTTGAACTTCTGAAAATTGATGGTAAATAATGCAGAAGAGGGCTTTCTGGTAAACCAAAGTTGTCTATACTTTATTCAAAGACCCCAAAATATATCTGTTAGGTAATTACATTTAATATTAGGCATATAGTGTTCTTATTCTTTAGACACTGATAAACCTCTAGAAGCTTTGTAAATAACTGGAAATAAGATGTTGGGGTTGAGATCATGGTGTCACTGTAAATATATATTTAAGTAACATTGAGTTAAATGTTTACAATTTTTGCTATATAAAATATACCTTACTAAAAGTTTTGAAAAATGTATATCTAAATAAAATGACAATATTAAGAGGTTTTATAAAAGTCAAGTGTGGTACATAAGCACTCAGTTATTTTCTTTTTACTTTTTTTTTATTAGTGCGTGTTTTCCATACATGCAATTTACAGTTACCTTTAGGAGTGGGGACAGGTATATAATATAGCTTGATTCTTTTTTTTATCAGCTTCCTCTCCCGCTTTCCTCCTGTAAATCCCTTTTCCTCCTTTTCATTCTTGTTGCTATCATTAGTCTTATCTCATGTTTATGACATATGTTTACATTCACTGAGGTTATTAGGTTCCTATGCGGGGTCTATCTTTATTTTCTTATAGATGCAAGCTACTGCTTTAGTAGAAACAGCACAAAGCCACACCATGGAATTTAGAGTTAAGATGCGATTTGAGAAGCATGTGTTGCTTCCCAAATGCCCTTGTTGTAGTTAGGAACCATCTCTCATCTCGGTTCTCAGGCTTATCATGATCTACGTTTCTTCCCCTTGCAGTACTTGGGGTGCATTGAAGTTCTGCGCTCAATGAGGTCTCTTGACTTCAGTACAAGGACACAAATCACCAGGTAAGCCCTCTTGGAAGCAGGCTCCTGATCTTAGAGGCTCACAGTGTACATACTTCTGCCTTCAGGTGCTGGAGGTAGGCCACGCGAGTTTGGAGACATTGGCATGTACATCTATGTTTTGACACTTGTCGCTCAGCAGGAGCACAGTGAAGGACACCTGACTCTTTACAGTTAAGCTGCGGACATATAGAGCAATCTGAGTATTTGTGTTTATTTCATTTACATAAAAACTCTAATGTGAGATTGATTGTTTCAAAACTTAACTGAACTGTGTTCTTTTTCGTAAAGAAAATCAAGATGTCCACAGGACATTTCCCACAGTAAACACAGAGAATAAAATGAATAAAATTGGTAGTAGAAATTTTTATGGAAGTAGGTCCATTTTGTAAGGAGTCAGAATTTTAACTATTTTATGTGTATTCTCCATAATCAACTAGATTTTAAACTTTTTAGGGGTAGTATTTAAGCGCTGTTTCTATGCAATCTCATAGCCTAGTATGGTTTGTAATAGAGCTCAGGCCATTAGAATAATGCCAATTTCAAGTCTCTCACTGAGGAGAGTAGGATTGAGCTAGGAAATAGTTAATTTCTGGGTGGAGAAGTTTATGTAGCTTTAGCACCTATGGAATTGCTTCATCTAAGTCATGACCCCAGAAAATGCCTTCTGTTCATTTCATTCAAATAACTGTCTTGTTTATCTTTGAATGAGGAAGTTGAAGTCTAAAGACTGAAATTTAGAAAGTAATTATGTATAATAATTAACTGACCAGTAACGTACATACCTCGCGGCTGTTGTTAGTACCATGGTAACACTTTTCTTCCTCACTGAAGAAGTTCATGGTCCAGAGTTGATGTGTAGCCAGCTGTGCTGGCTAATACTATAATCTCAGCACTCTGGGAGGCTGAAGCAGGAGGACTGCAAATTTGAGCCCAGCCCTTGTTGCATTTTCAAAAACTAGAGAGTGAACAATCCAATCTATTTTAAGTTTTTTGCTTCCTTTATTTTAATGTGCCAAAGGCCTCGGTGGACCTGCAGTTAGGCCCACATCCTCCAGCACAGCCTCTGTGTGGATGAGCTCTGCAGGCAGAGGTGCCCGGTGCAGACACAAGCCTCGGATTCTGCTCCGACAAGGATGGGTTCTGAAAAGCCTCCTGGCACAGCCACACTCAGAGCCTACGAAAAGTCCAGCATGGTGGCAGGCACCCATGGTTCCAGTCACTCAGGAGGCTGAGGCAGCAAGAGCACAAGTTGGAGGCCAGCCTGGATAACTCAAAACAGACTGGGCTGGAGACGCAGCTAAGTGTGGCACTTGCTCGGTGTGCTGGAGGCCCTGGGTTCAATCCTCAGGATCAGGAAATAAAACAGAGCAACAAATAAACAAGAACAACCAAAAACAACCCCCAAAAGGGACACATCTTCCTTTTAGGCAAGTTGTTTCCTGAGGGCTGGGACTTCAGTGACTTCCTCACTGGTGTTAGTGCTGGGAAGTTGGAAGGGTCACTGTCTGAGTTAGAGACACAGAGAGACCCCAGATCACACAGAGTCGCAGGCTGTGTGCTCGCACTGCTGGTCTGCTGTTTCCTGCGAGGGACCTGACACGGGGCAGGGGTGTGCCCCAGAGGACTCTCAGGTGTGATGTGGGGCTTTGAATGGGAGCAAATAGCAGGCAAGCTCTGGGGATGGGAGAGAGAGGGGCCGGGGCCACACACCCGTGAACTGTGCATATCCGATAAGTCCCAGGCCCAGCTGGCTGGGGTCCCTTCCCAACTGGGTGTGCAGCCTGTGTCAGCCTCCCCAGAGGAAGGACAGCGAGCCAGACCCAGCATGTGGCGCCTCTCTGCCCATCCTCTCTCTCTTCCAAGACTTCGCCTGGAACAGAGTGCTACAGAAGCTTGAGGAGAGCAGGACTCCCAGGTAAAACATTTCACCGGCAGTCCTCGGCCCCTGCGGTCCTGCCAGTGGGCATGCCTTCCCGGGCCCGAGCCCGAGCCTGAGTGGCTGGGCAGAGGCAGTGGCACAGGTACCCGAGGCTGGCGCTGTTCACAGAGGCTCTGCAGCCTCGGCCTTGCTGGCTGGGGCAGAGGAGGTTGAAGTGGGGATGATGGGCAGGAAAGGCCACCGCGGCCACCTCACATGTGCAGGCAGCACCGTGGGATGCTGACCCCATCAGCGATGCGGGTCCTGGCAGGGTGGGTCCGAGTAGGGGTTCATTATTTTGAGCAGTGGGTGGCATGAGCTGTACTGAGTGGGATGGGGTTTTTCACATCTTCCTTGTCTTTGTAAGAGAGGGTGTTGGGGTTTGGGTCCCCCAGTGAGGGCATCGTCCTCCCTCTGGACACACCGGAAACAAGTGATTCCGCAGAGCCGGGCCTTGGGGTCGCGTGCCAAGTACAATGCGCACTTTCACACTGCCCCACTGCGTAGAAAGCAAGCCGACTGTTGCTTGTGGGCTTGTCAGAAGCGTCTTATTGGAAGATACGATCTTTATGAGTAGGCTACTTGATTATGCTATTTCTAAACTTCCATTTTCACTGCAAAATAAACAGTTACGTGGGTCTCCGCACCAGGCAAAGGAGCACGTCTTATTTTCATAGCGTCACTAGAGCTGGCTGAGTCTCAGAATTTGGAAAGAGAGTGAACTAGTCCCACCCGGCCCCACCCTGAGAATCCATGGCTTTCGATCGCACCTCTCCAGCTCTTTCTGAAGGGGTTCTCCTGAGTGCTTGGAGCCCTGGGGGGAGGGGTGTGGGGGAGGCTTACCAGGGCGAGTTAGTGTTCTCTGGTTCCCTATTCCTCTTGGAAATGCCCCTGCACAGATCTGCATCCTGCCTGTATTGGTTCTCCAGTTTTAATGCCAGCTAGAATGACTTTGCACCCACCTGTCTCTTTGGTTGGTATTTCACATCAGAAGGTGCCAAATGCTGGGGTGTGGGAATTACAGGTTCCAAGGGACCCAGAGCCACCAGGCCAGATGCCACAGGTGTTCGCTGCAGGACACTGTTTGGAATCAGAGATGCGGGTTCTTGCATGCCCAGGTGAGTCTAGGGAGATTTCCTGGAGGAAACGTGTAAGCCTGGACCAGTTTCTCCCCCAGCCATATGGCAGACTCAGGTAGACTCTTGGAGAGTCTGGAAGGTGGGGGGGCCCATGCCTGGCCTCATACGGTTTCTGCCTGCACGCCCAGGAGAGAGGCCTGTGCCAGTTCCCAAAGTTTCCACAGGGCAGTCCGCACTGGGAGAAGTTTGGCCTGAGCCCTGCTACTGTGAAGACACCAGAAGCTGGGGCACAGGGACAGTGAGGCTCTTCTCCTCCAGGGTTACCTTCTTCTGCTTTCATGCTCAGTCCCTCCTCCCGAATACCTGCTACTAGATGGTTTTTATCTGAGCATATGATTACCATGGGAACGTCTGGCACAGCCATTGCAGAGGGTAGGAACCCAGGCAGCCTTTCCTTGGTCAGACCTAGTATGCATGTATCTCCCTCTTTCCCTCCTTCCCCGCATGGGCTTGGCAAGAGGAGGTTATCAGGGAGACTCTCTAGAGAGCCCCAGCAAGTGGTAAGTGAACACAGGCACCAGGCCCTTCTGAGAAGGTGCCCTGTGGGCTGCATCCCATATTCATACAAGAGAGGAAGTTTGGGGTGTCTGCCCACTAACTGCCCCTCCTCACGGTGAAGTCTAGTTCTGTGCATCACAGCCACTCTGAGCCGGCTCAAGAAGCTGGAGGAATTGTCAGGCAGGGAGGTGGAGGACAGATATGGGTGCTTGAGGGCATGTGGTCTCCCGGACAGAGGCCCTGTCAGGTGGCTCAGAGTGACGAGGCTGCTGGCTGACATGCTGGCTGAAGCTGTGCAGTGCCACAATTCTGAGCTCCCCTGTCTGTCTCTCTGAGTTGGGATTTTGGTTGATTTTCTGGCAGCTATGTTAGTCCAGTCTGGAACAGCAGGCTCCTGACTGCTCTGAGCAGAGCCTGTTAGACATGGGATTAATGGTGTCCTTATCTCATAGGTGAGGACAGGGACTCTCGGGACCAGCCTAGCACTACCACATAGAGACACACTGTGTCCACCAACGAGACCCACCTCTTTAGAGCCAGCGGCTCATCCAGGAGTAGGGTGGAAATCCCACTTGCAGGCTTGTTGGGAGACTTGAAAATGAAACCTACCAAGAGCCAGGGCTACTCCTGACACACAGCTGGTGTCCAACAAGGCAGGCAGATAGACTTATTATCATGAACCTCATTCTTCTATTTATGCTTTATAAATTTCCATATAAGAAAATATCAATTATTAATTATTAATGTAATGCCTATTAATTTGCAATTGATATAAGCTATCAATGTCAATCAACTTAATCCAGGGTATTAATTTTTCCTATCTAGAAAGATTGGTTTGATGCAACAAACCAGTTATTGAGAAATAATTGGGATAAGGCATTAATTCTCACATGCACAATATTATTTAGCATTTCACCTAGTTCCTGCATCTTATTGCCAATAATGAGGATGACAGTGACTGTAGTATGGAATGCTGTGTTCCAGGCAGCCTTTCCTTGGTCAGACCTCTTTCCCTTCCAAAGCGTCATTCATTCATGAAGCAAGTATTTATGGAGCTCATACTATGACCAATTACTGCTTAGACATTGAGACTAATGTACAGAACAAGGACTTAACTTCTATTGCATGAGAAAAGAAAATAAAGATCACAGAAATAGGAAGCTCAGGCAAACAGTGAATTTGCCATTTTTATAGATGGAAATGACTAAATGCCAGCAATTCCATATCATTTTATGTAGAAATTTCAGACAATGACATGGGTGCATCTGGTGTCTTCTTAGTAACCTGGGAGGCAGGCAGTGTGCACTTGGGGGATGAGGAAACTGAGGGTCAGAAAGTTTGCACAAATTGTTTATGGCCATGTAACTGGGAAGTGCCAATGTGGAGGTATGAGCTGGAGTGGTCAGTACAGTGGTCATAAGAAGCCTGCTCTATTGTCACCTGGT